TGTCTGGTGTCCTCATTAGTCTCCTCACGAGGAGAGGAGCTCAGGACACAGACACACAGAGGACAATGAGGCATTGGCTGGGGCCCCTGCCATTCCCGTGGATTTGTCCCAGAGCCCTCTGACCCCACATTCCGTCACTGCAGTGGCCTTCACAAGCCAGCACCCCCAGTGTGTTCCCAGCTGAGAACAGCAGCATTCTCGGGATGAGTGAGGGCTGGCCAGAAGGACAGGAAACTAGGAGGCACCAGGTGCTCAGATGCAGGCGGGAGACCCTAACACCTGCGTGATCTCTTGTGAGTGACCAAGAGTGAGAGGGGCAGGGAGGAACCAGCCCTGATTGCTGAGACCTGGAAGGGGCCCCAGGGCCCACTCAATGTTGCAGGTCAAGCGAAGCCACCATCAGGGGCACAAGACACCCACTCCATCCACCCTGACCACCCCAGCAGCTCCAGAGGCAGGGACGGAGAAATCAGGTACCTGAGGTCATCAGCCACTTTGACCATACATACGAAGCAGTGCCTCCTGCAACCTGGGAGCGGAAGTCAGCTGAGGGTCCACGCGGACAGTAGGCACCACTTACCTGCAGGGCTGGGTGCTAAGGGTGGGTGGCCTTGGGCAAGAGCTGTGTGCCTGGCAAGGGCAGCTGCTCAGCCTGCCCAAGTCAGGCACCTTGAGGGTAAGTTGCCTGGTACCCAAGCCCCTCCAAGGCCTGCAAGTAACACCCTGGCATTCACTCCTGCTCCCCAGAGCCACCAAATGGGGACAGAACAGAAGCACATAGCACACGCCTCTACAGGAGAGAAAAAAATGGATGTTTGTGGCCAAATATGAGAATGCTGCTCAAAATCGGCTCAGACAGGGCCCCCGGGGAGTCCACGGAGGACAAACAGTGGCAACAGTGCAGTCCCTCCATAAGTTGAAGAAAGAAGAAAGAAACACAAAAAGTGGCTCAACAGTCAAAGACAGGTTTATTCTAGAGAATAAACCTGAGAGGGGCTTCTGGCTGATTTCGGTCAGGAGTGTTTCTTCTTACAGACTAAGGGTATTTAAGGGTTTTAGGGCAGGGGAGCTTATCGCAGGCTGGAATGTTTCTGCGTGAACAAGAGTTTCATTGTGGGTGGGGGGGAGGTTATCTCAAGATTGGCATGTTTCTGGTTGGAGTGGGGATTTAACTTAGGGTTGGAATATTTCTAGTCATGCTGACATTAGCCATTAGGTTGATGTTTTGGGGCTGGATTTTAGGCGATTTTTAATTAAAGGAAACTTCAAATGGTGGTGTTTGTCCAAGATAACAGGGCTCCTGCTCTGTCACCCTCCACCCAGCAGAGCGCAACACAGCCTTGAAAAGGAAGGGAATCCCAACATGGCCACCACCCAGAGGAGCCTGAAGGATGTTGTGCGGAGTGAAATTGACCACACAGAAAGGAATGGGTCCTGATTCCACTCGCAGGAGGTCCCCGGAGTCTCAAGTTCATACAAACAGGAAGTGGAAGGGGGCCCGGGGGGCTGGGAGAGGTAGCGAGGAGTGGGCGTGGAATCAGGAGGGAGCTTTGGTGTGGGGAGACCAGAGGCCTGGAGGCGGTGGTGATGGGGGCTGCTCCCCAGTGTTCAGTGTCCCCAAACCATGCACTTAGAAATAGGATAATTAAACTTACGTTATGTGTTGTTTACCGGGATTTTGTAAAAAATTTTAAGCAGTCAAGTTTTGGCATAGATGACACAGGGTCACCTCCAAAGCCTCGAGGCCCAGGGCTGCCTGGCCAGAAGCCTCTTCTCCCACACACGGCCATCCCTTCATTCATTCCTCATCACCCCTTCTCCAAAGTCTAAGTCCTTGGCAGCCTCCAGGCAGAGCCCAGGTCTGGATGTGAACGGCTCCATCATGCAGGGTGAGGCCGTGCTGGGCACAGCAGTGAGACAAGCCTGCAGCCACTGCAGGTGGAGTCTCTGGCTGCAGGGTGAGGCCCAGGCCCCACTTCATTGCCGCTGACACCCATGGGTGGTTCACACGGGCCCAGACGAAGCACGTTTTCAGCCAGGCTTCAGTGGGGGTGAGGGAGGTGGGGGATGGAGTGATAGGGCCCAGATTCCCAAACACTCCCCTCAGTAAGCCCCAGGGGTGGGAGCTGGGGGTCTCTGAACCTTGGGGGCTGCAGGGAGGCTACACCTTGTGCTGAGACCTCCAACCTCCACCGTCAGTGACCTCGCTTGAATCAGCTCGGACAAGGCACTGGAAGAGAGAGAGAGAAGCGACGGGCTCAGGGCCGCCTTCCCCAGGACAGCAACCACAGGCTGCCCACGGTGCCCACGCGGCGAGGGCCCACCCAGAAGCAGGCTCTGGGGAAAGCAGGCCGAGACCAAAGGGGCTTTGCTGGGGGTGGGCGAGGGCAGACGAGCTGTGCGAGGCTGAGCCATGGACTCCACAGGCCAAGGAGTGGGCCGGCACCCCAGTCGACACCTGCTGAGGCTGGCATCTACCTACAAGACCACTCCCAGAAGGTGCCAGACCCCTGCCAAAGGGCATCTCCTCCCAGCCTCTTCTTCGGTTCATAAAAACTCCAAAAACCAGGTTAAAGAAAACACGAAATTCTCTAGAAATCCCAATGCTGTCCCCACTGGCACTAGGCAAGGAGCAGAGATGAGCCAGGATCACCTCCAGCTCCAGCCCCACCCAGATCCCTGCCCACCAGGCACGGCTGCAGCTCGACCTCTCCCCCCCCCGCTGGGTACGGGATCCTCTAGACCACTGCCCTCCTGACACCCAGGTCCCTGCTGCCCAAGTGCTCAGCCTCACCACGTCCTTGGGGCATACCCTTCCCAGCCAATGTCACATCCATGGAGACATGCAGGGGAGCAGAAATGTGCTGGTGTCATTTCCCCGTCAGTGGGACTTGGGCAGAAGAGGCTCAGCGCTTCCCAGGTGGGATCCGAACAGGCCCGCCCTGGCTGTCAGCCCTGCTTGCTGCTGGTCTGTCCATTTGCCGAACGCTGTAGGTCTGGAGGAAAGTGCCATAACAGAGGTGCGGGGACAGGTGGCTGGCAGAGGGGTGGGTGGTCGGCCACTACCCACCCCCTACCTGGAAGAGCTCATGGTGGCCCTGCACAGGCTGCTCCAGCACCACAGCCCCAGACTGCCACCACAGGCACCAAGGAGCATCAGGCACTGGGCAGAGCGGCTGGTTCCCCTGGGAAGGAGCGGGACCAAGGCATGTGCTCGTGGTGGTACCTTGCAAGCGGTGCCAGGACTAAGGAGGACACATGGGCAGTGCCAGGCATCCCACACAGCGACTTCCAGGGCAGCCGGGACGGGGACAGTGGAAACCACACATGTGGGGTCCATGTAAATGAACCCCAGGCTTCCTTCCAGGCAGTTCTCAAAACAAAACTTAATTTTGGCAAAGGCAAAACCAGAGATGGGAGCAGTGGCTCACGCCTGTAATCACAGCACTTTGGAAGGCTAAGGCAGGTGGATCACTTGAGGCCAGGTGTTCAAGGCCAGCCTGGCCAACATGATGAAACTCCAGCTCTACTAAAAATACAAAAACATTAGCCAGGTGTGGTGGCGGACGCCTATAATCCCAGCTACTCGGGAGGCTGAGGCGGGAGAATCACTTGAACCTGGGAGGTAGAGGTTACAGTGAGCCGAGATCACACCACTGCACTCCAGCCTGGGTGACAGAGCAAGACTCCATCTCAAAAACACAAACCAAAAAAGAAAGGCAATGTGTTTAACACAGGTGCGGTCACTCACGTCTGGTCCCACTTTTCCAGGGCTCTGAACAAAAGAGCAGAAAGCTCTCCCTGGGGACAGTGCCATGTCCTGGTTCTGATTCTGTCCCCAGCTGTGCAACCCACACAGGGAAAGGCAGATGGGGCCCCCGGTCAGGGTTAGAGTGTGAACCCTTCAGAATGTTTCCATGTATTTACTTATGGAAAGTGGTTCTGCAGCCCTTCCTGACAAAGGTGAGCAGCATTCAGGGTGGCCCCACGGTTGGCGGTGGGGTGGCCGGGAGGCCATTGTGGTCCTGACTCTCCCACCCCAGCCCTGCCGCACCCTCCGCAGCCCGCCTGCCTCCCACCCACCAGCACCTCACTGCCTTCCCCACCCCGCCGCAGGGCCCACCAGCACTCAGAACAGCACAAACATGTTGGTGACAGGTGCCACATGCTCCCCTTTACCATCATCTCAGCAGCTGCCAAGCGCACCCAGGGGCTGGGCTCCCCTCCCCCACCCTCCCAGCAAATGCTGGCATAAGCAGCCGTGGGCTCTGTCTCTGTCTGCACAGTGGGACTCTGGAAGGACGCTCTAGGGGTGTGAGGTGCTGGGCACAGGGGTCGGGTAGACCCCAGCACCCCTCCTCACCTGAGAAGCAGATACCTACCTGCTCACCGGGCACCTGCTGGCTCCATGGGCACCAGCTCCCTCCTCCTGGCGTCGGGGTCTCTCCCTCTCATGGGGTAACGCAGTGACAAGAGGACCAGCCTGTAGCACGAGCTGACCCGGCGGCCAGGCTGTGTGAAGAGGGGCTCTGGCCACTTTGCCGAGAGCTTGTCGTGTGCATGTTAGCTTTTTATTTATTGTTTTTTTGGAAGTCTTGCTCTGTCACTCAGGCCGGAGTGCAATGGCCCAATCTCAGTTCACTGCAACCTCTGCCTCCCAGGTTCAGGCAATTTTCCTGCCTCAACCTCCTAAGTAGCCAGGATTATAGGCGCCCATCACCACGCCCGGCTAATTTTTTGTATTTTTAGTAAAGATGGGATTCTGCAACGTTGGCCAGGATAGTCTTGAACTCCTGACCTCAGGTGATCTGCCAACCTTGGCCTCCTAAAGTGCTGGGATTGTCACACCTTCACCTTACAGTGATGCATTTCACAAACAAGACTTTTGCCTGCAAAATGCCACTTTATCCTTCATAATGCTGATGTTGAAGAATTGCTTTTATTTTTAATTCATCTTAACAGTGCAACTTACTGGTGCGCACAGAGAACACCAGGCGAGCTGTATTCAGTATGCTCATGTTTTATTTACGTAGGTGGCACTTAAGATACATGATGCGTTGAGAGTTACATTGTCCGCAGAAAGCATCAAATACCACTCCACTCCCCACCAAAACAAATAAACAAAGCCAACTCTTGGGCAACAGCTGTGTTAAATAAAACCACAGATCGCGCTTGCTTCTGGCTCCCAAGCCTGGGTCACTGCTATGTGGATAGCGCCAAAGAATTCCCGGCTTCAACATCGCTGATTAAAACTGCCGGCGTCTTTACATCACACCCAAGCCTCTCACAGTGCCCTCACATCCCAGAGGACAAAGGAAAAGCAACAGGGACAGCAGGTCCTCATGGGAAAGGGAAGGACAGTGTGGGGGCGGGGTGCGTGCAGGGAAGAAGGCAAGACAACCCCAAATTCCGCTCCGTGCTCAGTAACAATAAAAAGAGAAGCAGCAGTACACGATGCAAACGAAGGGCTGCCGGCAGCGGGCAGCATCAGGTCAGAGTGCGGTGACTTTGCGAGGCGTCAGTGCTCACGAACTGAACACTGGCCCGACCTCCTGGTGCCATCTCTGGGGGTGTTGGGCATGCGTAATGACCCGCCGTTTTCCCCAGCACAGCCCTGACCCAGGAACGCTAGGGAGGGTGCTGCTGAGCAAAAGCCTTTTGCTAAAAAGAATTATGGATCCCAGGAAAAAAATATGGAATCTGGCAAAACCTACACGATATTTGAAGTTGAATTTGGACTACCTGCAGATGAAAATTAAAAGATGAAACAGAGGAATGATTTTACATGTGGTGTGATTCCTGATTCTGTTCGTGTGGCCACATTGCCCTGAGGAAAAGATGCCCTGACCGCCAGGATTCAGTGCGTCACTTAGGGCATTCTCTAAGTCACACTCTACTCAATTACCCTCTAATTCCACACACAACACTGCCACAGGAAAGCGCGTCGTTTAGTGAAAGCCACTCAGCTCAGCTGTCTGCCCTGCTGTTCTCCTAACGCTACAAATACCCCAGCAGCATGCGGAGTGGTTGCATGGCCAAAAAGAATGAAGAGGATCCGGAAGCTCTAGAGGAAAACACTAGCAGACCGAGTGCTGGGAGGGCAGAGGGAGAGCCGCGGCCGCGTCCCCGTCCCCAGTGTCCGTGCCCACCACCCGTGCCATCAGCCCCGCCTCCTGACCCTGCTCTGACTGATCTGTGATTGCATAATCCTGCCGAGCGAGTGTGGCCGCCAGACAGTGCTGACCCCACGCTGCTGCCTAGCGCGTGCACACGGCCGCACGCCAAGCACGGTGGAGCGCCAGCTCTGGGGGCAGCGAGCCTGCAAGTCCGGTCTAGTGATTGCCTTTGGTTGACTTCTTCTTCTTCGACTCCTCTCTCTGCTTCTGCTTCTTCCTCTTGCCACCTTCTTTGAATCCTAAGGAAACACGGCTTGTAAAACACGGTGCGGAACAGCACTGCTTCCCCAGTAAGAGCCAAGGTGTTTTCTAAGTATCTCCCCATGTTAAGAACAAAAAGCAACGAAGTGAGGTCATCTGCCTCGGCCACACCTAAACCTCAAAGCCTGAGCGAACTTTCCAAGGTGCACGTCGAGAACAGCTCCCATTATTCAGAGAACTTCACCACCCTGCAGAGAAGTGGGCGACTCCCGCTGCCCGAGTTCAGCAGCAGAGCTGGAAGCCCACCCTGGGGATGGCTGCACCTCAGGGCCAGAAGCCCCCCCGGGCCCTCCTTCAGAACACACCCAGGGCCTATGCAGAGCCACGCCCACCTGTAGGGAGGGTGCCCACGGCATCTCCTACGCTCCCCCAGCGCTGGCCACAGTGAGGCCTTTCTGCAGGCAAAGCCTTGCTGTGGCCCAGCCTCATGCTTGTGGGCTCTGTGGCATCCAGCATGAAGGTCCCGTTTCTTACTTGAGGAAAGTGACCTTGCATCTCCCTGCTGCCGAGGTCAACGGCGGCCACTGACTGACCCAGCTGAAGTGCAGGGAGAAAGACGCCCACCCACTGAGCAGTCGATGCAACATGCCACAAATACAGGCCTGGCTGCAGCCCTGCAGAAGTAGTCTCAGACTCAGCGTGTGTCCATGTGGTTGCAGGAGACGGGCCTCATGTTGAGTCGGGCAACAACTGTCAACACGACTGATGTGACTGAGCACAGGGTTCATGACCGGCAGCAGGCAGGTGGAACTGGGTCCCACATGCACGGGCCCCCGACCTGCCAGGAAGACCCTCTGAAGACCCGCACAACCTCACATGGTGGCGGCGTGCACCACAGGGAGGAGTCTGCTCACAACCCTCCTGGGGACCCAAGGCCCCACCCACACTCAGGACTCACCCCAGAGAATCAGTCATAGGTGGGCCAGGTACCAGGCTTCAACTAGACACATCTTCCCCGCCCAGCGGACGGCCGCCACACTGACTAACATGTCACAGGGTGCAGGCCCACTGAATGTGGCTCGCACACATCCTGCACCACAGTGGGGCAGACACACGCGGACTTTCACATGTGCTGTGGCTCTCACCACAGAGCACTGGCTGGACCCGACAGCTCTCCACAGAAGGGGACGTGCATGCAGACGGGAACGAGCCTGCAGGTCCAGTCCACACCTGCAGCCACGCAACATGCCACACTCGCCCATGGCTTGTGCGTGGCAGAGGCTGCCACCTCAGGGTGCTTTCCATGCAGGCGGGTGCATCCTGACCGTCCCACAGGAGCAGCATGAGATACACATGCTGCGAAACACCAGGCCTCCCATGCTGCGTGTTTAGGAAGCAGGCCTCAGTTACAGAAAGACAGGAACAGAGGGGGCTGTGTGCCATTGGCCGCTGTGCAGAGGCTGCCAAGGACCTGCTTCCAAAGTCAGGAGGCGGCTCTTTGGAAAAGGCAAAGGACAGGAAGCGGGAGAAGCCAGAAGATGCCCCACCTGAGGAGTGTATGGGGAGCCTCGGGGCGACTAAGTTTGGTATTTTCAAGACTGTATCTCAAGTGAGAGTTCATTTCCAGCCTAAAAAATATCACGCCCTAGACCCACCCAGGCCTGGGGGCCGCACACCTGGCTGTGAGTCCTAAGGGGAAGCTTGCTCACTCCTGGGAGCTCGGACAGGACCTGCTCCATGCAGGGACCAGTCGGATGGCTGGAGGCAAAAGCAGGGGCCGTCAGCACTGCCGGGGCTGCCCAGCTGTTTTCAAGAACCTTGTCCAGGACTTGCAAATCCCGCAAAAAGATGAGAGGGGGGTCTTCCAGGCACCCAGAGGCCTGGCCAAGAGTCACGAGTTTTCTGTGACAAGGGGCTCCAGGGAAAACAAGACCTTCAGCGCTCAGCCCTGTCTCCCCCCGAGCCTGCAGGGGCGGGGCCTTGCTCAGCCTCCTCCTTGTCACTCACCAGCACCCGGGCACCACGGGGTGGGTGAGAGAGTCGCAAACAGTCTCTGCAGAGACCAAAACCATCTGCTGTGCGACTTGCTCCAGCTGCGTCCCCAACTCTGCGGGGGTTTCTCAAGTCTTCCTTTGAGTCAGCTTTATCTCTCAGTAAGAACTTAAGTAAAAGTCTCTGACATGTGTTCATTACAGATTTGTAGGAAAATCAGGTCCGTAGATCTTTGAGGGTTACTTGGGCAGCCTCAAGATCTCATGAAATGACTGGAAAAAAGAAAACAAAAGAGGAAAAGCCGAGGGACAGAAGCTCCAGACAGCACCCGGGCAGAAACAAAAGCCTTCACTTGCCGATTTGGTGTCAAGGATTTGTGTGGGAGTCAGCAGTCAACCAGGTTCCCCCTCAGAAATGGTGTCCTGCCGGAGGATGCAAACTGGCAAAGCCATGAGGTATGGGGACAGCAGCTCCTGCCCTTGCCATCAGCCCTGCCCGCGGCCACAGCCACGGCCACAGCCACAGCCACGGCCACAGCTGGCCACAGGCCCAGGAGGAGGAAAACAGCCCAGTTCTGAAATGATTGTGTGGCCTGGGGCCTCTGCCGGGTGCTGCTCACTGTGCTTTCCCACGACTCCTCCAGGGGACCGTACCCGCACACCATTCTTGGGGACTGAGAAGTCACAAGGACCCTTGCAGGCCAGGCTTCCGGTGGTTCAGGGATGCCACAGCCATGACCCTGCTCTATCCTGCACCTCACAAAGACCCACGGACAAACACTGCCCCACTCCCTCCTGCCTGCAGACCCTCACACCAGGAGTGCGCAACAGACCCGGGGGCTTTCCACCAGCCGCTCAGCACACAGGGAGTTCTTTCTAGGTGCATGCAGCCTGCAGGTGCCTCTGTGTGTCACTCAGTGACATAGCACAGACCAGCATGGCAAAGGCTGGCGCAGCAGGCGGGCAGGCAGCTGGCTGGAGGGGCTGTGCCCACCCACGGGAAGCGCCTTCCAAGGCCGTCGAGGCAGAGTGCACCTTCCGTCCTCCTCAGAGCCGGCAACTATTTCACCCGAGAAGGGCTGAAAGGGGCTAATTTTTCAAGAGAAAGTTCTGTGAAGGGCAGAAGAGGGAAACCACCCCCCTTCTTTTCATGTCCCGCTTAGACAGTGCTGTTTGGCCCACGTCCACAGACGTGACCTCACGACATTGCCTAGCTCCCCCACACACAGAGATCAGCCACCATGTCCTCCTGCCGACAGGAGTGGCCGGGTCGCCTCACTGCTGCTGTGATGAGAACCAGAAGCAGCACAAATCCCTCCAACCGAGGTGAGAGTCACACTACACTGGCCCTGGGCTTTTGGATGCGGCCGGGCCGAGCCTGCATGCACGGCACATCCTCGGGCACCCCAGAGCTTCTCTGGGACACTCAGAGACTATGCAGCTCCCTAGGAGGTGGGAGGGGGGCAGGGCGGCCGGGAGCCCCACAGCAGGTGGGCGGGCAGAACCGCTTCACAAGGAGGCCTGACTCAAGGGGGTCTTTGGTTCTGCACCCCGAGCTGAAGAAGGCACGAGAAGGTGAAGCTGGTGGAGGGCAGGGGTAGTCACAGTCCCCACCGGCGCGAGACCACCTGGCCTAAGCCACGGGCCCCAAGCTCTGTGCTCAAAGCTACGAAAAGGCACATCAATGGGAAAAGCAGCACCTGGCCCTGCGCAGCAGCTCACACCCTCTGCAGAGCCACACGCTGTGTGCAGGGCACGGGACCCCGTTTTAATGGTGGGGGCCCGGAGCCACGGGGCGTAGGGCCTGTGGGCGGGAGGGGAGCAGAGCGAAGCCACGTCCTCCCGCCCCGCACAGCCGCCCCGCCCGCTCAGGTCAGAACGCAGCAGCACAGGTGCCGTTTCTGTCCTCGCTGTCCTCTGGCACCCGGGGAAGTCTCACTCTGGGCCCGCTCCACGGCCTCCTCCCTTTGCACACCTGCTGCGGACGCGAGGGGGTCCCAAGGCCCGGACACCCAAGGTCGGTCCTGCTCGCCCTCCTCCTCATAGAGACCGTGGGGCGCGTGTCTGAACAGCGAGGCAGGCCGGGTTGGCTTCGGCGGGCGGAGGCTGGCGGGCTGGGCTGGCAGGGCGTTCTGGCCTCTCCGCGCGCACTCAGCAGCGAGGGCATCCTCATCAGCCACACCTGCAAGCACAGCGGGAGACCGTGAGTGAGCGAGGGAGGCAGGGGGTGGGGGGGCTGGCCGCACCATCTCCATGAATCCAGCCGTGTCCTCTCTGTGGAGGAGAAAGAGGTTATCTCATTTCTTCACGGGCTCCACTGGGGCCAGAATTCAATCCTTAAGAGGGGGAAAAGAAAGAGTCCTCTGAACATCACACCTCTCTCTCTCCTGAAAGAAGTGGCTCCCCACCCCACCCACTTTAGCACAATCAACACGCCCCTTCCAAGAGTGTGTCCCACCGAAATCACGGTCCAGGACTAAGCAATTCATTGTCAAAATCAGCCAGCTGGGCCATCCTGAGGAAGAAAGGCGCTGGGTCCGGTCAGCGATTTCCTCCTCAGAGTCCATACACAGAAGACATCCCCTTTCCTCCTCGTGCTGGAATAATCCGTCGTGGCAGCAGCGGCACCCACAGGAGCCACACCCCGCCCAAGGCAGGGCCATCCAGCCACCCCCGTGCAGGTGCAGCCGCAGCTCCAGCTCCAGCCCCGCACCACACACACACCCAAGACTCCTCAGTGCTCTGAAAGTTGTGCTTGTATCAGTCTTCTGAAATACGGAAAAAGTCATCGGAAGGCCATGCATTTAAAAGAAAAGAAATATAGAAAAAATGTTTTGCCCACTGATGGATACGAGGAATAAAATAAGCAAACGATATTCAATATTGGACATTCAACAATTCGATGATCTCCACCATGACTCTCCGAATGTCTGCGTGGCAGTTGCCACATGGACGTGAGGGAGGCGGCCGGGTCAGAGCTCCAGGAGCAGGCATGCGAGGCCGAGGGTGGTGGGATTCCTCGTCCCTCTGCAGAGTCTAAAATGTGCCTAAAACGTGTCACACCCAGTACTTTAGACCCGAGCCCTGCACAGATGTAAAGCAAGGCAGGCCCTCCCGTGGCACAACACAGTCTACGAAGAGTCGGCCCGTCCTCCTGGCTTCCCGCAAGCACGGGGAGCACTCGGCCACTGGAACATGCCTGAAATGCAACGGACTGAGATCGACCGGCGCTGCAGAGCGTCTTCAAGGAAACTGGCCTGTAAGCCAATTCCAGTGCCGAGCGCCAGGCCCGGGGTCGGAGTGGAGCTGAAATGTGGCTCACCCAGAACGGAGGACCGGCTGCGAGGTCAGGAAGGACCCTGCTCTCAGGCTGTCCCCTCAGGCCAGGGCTCCAGTCCTTAGGACCACAGTGCTCACCGAAGGAGGGCCCTCACTGCGTGTGGAAATTCATCTCCAAGAAATACCAAGACCTGGGCAATCTGCAACCTGCCGCCTGTGTGTCCCCAGAGGGAAGGGCGAGCCGCACACACCTGGAGCCACAGCACGGTGCCCACAGGGCTCAGTCGCTTCTGGAACTCAGCAATCGCAGGAGGCGGTGCAGGCCTCAGACGTCGCCTTCTACCCAATCCTATTTCCCCACACTTTGAACACAGAATCGTGATTTTTGGGACCATTTAGCCAAGCACAGCAAACCCACGGTGCAAGGTTGCACGAACAACACCCCATTGCCAACGGCCGTCCTGCACACCCTGCCAGGGGACTGCGGGACCTCTGCTGAGACGGCCGCACCCCGAGAGCGCAGGCAGGTTCCTCAGCATCACACGGGACGGAACCGCTGAGCTGAGAGGGGTCACCTGCCCGAGGCTGCTCCTCCTTCGGGACCTCCGTGTGCTCACCTGCAGAATGAAGGTGGCCTGGATGCCGTCTGCGATTCTATGACTTGAGTGAAGGAGGAGCACCCGGCACACAAGCCATGCAGGCAGTCACGTGTGCGCACAGCGCTTCCTCAATGCGTCTGCAGCCAGAGGAAATGTGCCAGGGCCCCCGGGCCAGGCCCCAGTCGCAGGCTGGGAGCGAGGGCTGTGACGGACACCCAGGACACTCCCGGGACACAGCTTCTCAGCAAACCAAACTGATTCCCAGCTGCCTGGACCCTTGCGGGAGAGTGGGACATTTGGGGACAACGCTGCGAACTCACTGTTGTGTGCCAATGTGGCTCCAGACCTGACGCAGAAACTCACAGGAGCCGCGTCTCGAGACGCATCTGAGGCTCCTCCGGCCACACTCGTGGACCCTGGGCCACCCCGGTCCCCAGGACACCAAGGAGAGACTCAGCACAGGTGCTCCCAGGGCGCTGCGTCCCACCGTGGAGGGACAGAGGAGTGGAGGGCCACACACACGCAGCAGCAAAGGGCCCACCAGAGCCAGCCAAGCCCGGCCGCCTCAGGAGGAGCGCACCAAAGAACTCTGACATGACTTTTAAGAATTATAATCTGCCAGCTAACGTGGAACATTTGAGGAAGAAATTTAAAGTTTCTGGTGTGTGACACAGTGAACTGGACCCTGAACATCCATAGCTGTGAAGTCCTCCTGGGCAGGGCGACATAGCGAGCTCTGAGACCACCGGAAGAGCCACTGCTGCCTGCCCAGCCACACGTCCCGGCGCCCGGGAGCTTCAGAGCCAAGCGAGAGCCCCTCGCCCGCCCAACTCCACTCGGGGTGGGGGGGAACGGGGGCGGCGTAACCCCGCACATCCCGGCTCATCCCAGCTCTGGGAAGCCCAGTCTCGCTGACAGTTGCAATTCTGCACTTCTAGCTCGGCCACAGTGGGGACTTCCCGCCTCAGCTGTGCCTGCACCTCTGGTCCACAGGTGAAAACGCGCCCTTGGGTGGGTGTCCAAGGTCCCATCTTCAGAGCGCTGTGGATCAGCCGGGGCTGACATCACCTGGGGAGGGCCAGGCTGTGGGTCCAGCCTCAACCTGGGCATCCCGGCCTCCTCCCACCACGATGGCAGAGAAACGCGCTGCCTTCAGAGCTGCTCGGTGAGGTTCTGCTTTACTGTCTGTTTAGAAAAAGGCCCCGCTGAGACCTAAGCCTGATATTTTGAAAACAAGTACCGAAGACACCTGCAGCGTCCAAAGCTCCCCGCTTATCTCCTCAGAGGCTGAGGCCACTGGGCAGGCGCCGGCGTCCTTCCAACCCCTGGCGGCTGCGTGGGCAGCTGCAGGCACAGAGTGGCCCTGGAGTGACAGGGAGGAAGGCGCAACTCCATGGCCATGTCCACAGGGCAGCCTGGCTCCTGCAGATGCCTGTGCCCCTGTCCTCTCCAGCACAGCTTAGCAGCTCAGCCCCCACCACCAGCCACAGGTCCAGGCAGTGCCCAGAAGCCTCCTCCCCTCCCTCCCTGTGAGGAGGGCTGGGGCTGGCATGCATGGCAGGTGGATAGCGGCTACTCAGGTCTGGTCTCTGAGCAAACCCTTCTGGCCCCAGCAGCAGGACACAGTCCCCACCCCAGCCACCCACAGGGCCTGTGTCCCCAGGCGGAGCACACAAGGGACTCCCCAAGGTTCTCCTGAAACGTCATGGGTAGTGAGCTGCCAGGAAAAGTGACTTGGGGAAGATGAAGGTGGAGATGAGGACCTCCTTATCCACATCTCCCTGCATCGCCTGGGGAGCCACGTGGCGCACTGCTGCTCCAAACCCCCATGCCCAGCCTCCCGTAGGCACAGTGGGGTGCCAGCGTGGGCAGGGAGCAGCCACCTCACGGCTGGGATGCAGAGGCACAGGCAGGGGTCCTCTGCCGTCTGACAAGAGAGACACTGTTGGTCTGAACAGGAGGACTGCCCCACTCAGCCTCAATGGTTCTAACTGTTCAAAGCCAAGGCTCCAGGCATCCTGCTGCTGTGCCAACCCCAGCTCTGTGCCTGGCACTGCCGGAGGCTCTGTTCAACTCACTGGCAGGCGAAGCTGTTGCCTCTGAGGTTCTAACCTGCCTGTGGACGGAGCGGTCCCACCCCACTGCCTCCCACAGCTTTCCAGCAAGAAAACTGAAAGAGAAAGAGCAAGTGGCTGGAGAGCAGTCACGGACGGACAGCCAGGCTACGGGAGAGCTGGAACAAGCACCACCCCATGGCCCTCGCCTCTGCCTCGGCCTCCCGGTCCCCCGCAGGCCAAGGTTATCCCATCTCCCTCCTGGCAGCAAGGGGATCAGCCCTGAGGTTCGGGTTTAACTGGCACAGTATGCAGCCCGGTGCAGTCTGTCAAGGTCCCAGGAGACTGCAAGTGAGCTTCACACCGTGACACGCTCTCCAACGCCCCAGGGCCTCACAGGCTGACAGGGCCACGGCGGGAACCCTGGGGTCCCCAGAGACCAAGGCAGTGTTCCTACAAACCCTGCATCCCAACCCATCTGCCTCCCACTCACCACGAGGAGGATGGAGCTGGGGCTGCTGATGCTGAGAAACGCGCCTCACGGTATATGGCAGTGCCCAGACCACACTCCTGCCTGAGTCCCAGCACGGGATGAGCCAGCCTGGAAGCAGGCGGCATGCTCAGGGCTGAGGGCACACGAACTCAGCACACTTCCCACAGCAACCCCCTCTCCCACCGCAACTCCCAGGACACTCTCTCAAGCATCCGGTTAGAACCTGTACAGCGCCTGCAGTTACCAAACACCTCCTTGTCGGATTCAGAATTTCCCCACACCACCTTCTCATCTCTACCCTCGCGGCTTCCCACGTGCGGGAGGCCAGGAGACAGTGGTCTGCGGGGTGTGTGCACCAAGGCGAGCCTGTCGGTGACCCGAGGACCCTGCCTCCAGCGCTCAGCACACCCACCCTTCGGTTCTGAGGATTCTGTCCTCTCCTGCGGGAAAGGGCCCAGGCCACATCAGTGTGTTCACACAAGTAACTGTTACAACCACTCCTTTAAAAAACACTGCACAGGCTGGGCACGGTGGCTGGTACCTGTAATCCCAGCACTGTGGGAGGCTGAGGCAGGAGGATCACTTGAGCCCAGGAGTTTGAGACCAGTTTAGGTTCAAGATCAGCTTGGGTAACACAGAAAGACCCCATCTCAGCCAGGTGCGGTGGCTCAGGCCAGTAATCCCAGCACTTTGGGAGGCCAAGGTGGGCAGATCACTTGAGGTCAGGAGTTCGAGACCAGCCTGGCCAACATGGTGA